GCTTTTATCGGTCTCAAGATGAAAAATTGGTACAGACGAACAGACACACATACACCTACAGACAACAGTGCATAGATGCAAAAAACGCATTAAAAGAAGTTGCGATTTTCGCAGCTGTGAAGAGGAATGATTGATTTGCTGAACGGAACCGAACTGACTGACTCTTCAATTTCCTGAACAAATAATTAGCCGTAATTTCTTCTTGAGTTTATTTTTTATACTCTATACCGAAAAGCAAATACAAAGAAACGTTCGAGCCTTGGTTTAAGCAGCGAAGACAAGTGCCATATCATCTTAGCTGCTTTGTGGCAACGGTCAGAGGAAGTGAAGGTTGGAAAACATGGAAATGACTGAAGAGCCACTGCTAAAAAGTAATAGTTCAGCAATAATTTTTGAAAAGAAATCAATGCAGATGAGAATTTCACGACGAAAGCCAAATTTGGATATGGTTCGTTGTGGTTGCCACGCTCATTCCGAATTACATGTTGTCATGGAGGATATCCGGTTCCTGAAAATTCTCAGGTACTTTTTTTTGAGTGTTTCTTCGCAAAGCTTGCGTATTTCCAGGTATTCCCAGTAAGAGAACTGAAATGGCAGCAAATTAAATTTAGTCTCATTGACATGTGAGTTTTTTTTTTTTAAAACAAAATCAGGTGACGCGCAACTGGACCCATGAAGAATCCGACTATGTAATTGATGAGCGATATACGGAACACACTGCATCGCATGGTAGCGGCACAGTCGCATCTGGATCATCGGATATTTTAAAAGAAACAACATCAGAATCAAACTGCCGTGTTTATCACGGCAGCTATTTGCTTTCGGCCTCCGCAATTTTCACTTTTGATGATTTCACAGGAATTGGCGTCGTTTGCAAATGCCCGGGTTAGTGAATCGTTTTGCCTCATTTTGCTGCTTTTCCAGTTTAAATAAAATATCAAACGCCGTAGTGTGGATGTTGCGCTTACGTCGACGTTAGTTTTTGCAGGCGGCAAATTCGCGGTACGATTTATTTGTCCCTGAAGGGTTTAGGAACCGTTTCTGCACCCTACGAACCATTTTTCAAAAATGCCTCCACAATGAAATTCCAAAAAGAATGTGCATTTTAGAAGGGTCGAATGGCGAGAGTTTGGACCGGAACTGCAGGCGACTGAAGGCATGCCTCAACAATGGTTATCGTTCCTTCAGTTCCGGTTCCTACTGCATTTGCCCGGAACCATATTTCGGGGAGCAGTGCGAAAAATACTGCGACCAGGGCCAACGGATGAAAGGTTTGTTATGAGCGCTTTTATAATATGCACATTTTGTTCCCTTTGATTGCTGAATACACTCAAGCAGCGGATGAAGTTGTGTCACGTTGTGTTTCTAATCAGCTCGCCTGAGTATCGCTTTTGTTCTGGACTATTTGTCTTTTAATAATGTTATTTTTTGGGTTTTTTTGTGTTAAAAATTGTCAGCTTTTTTCAAAAACTTTTTATCCCTCTCACATCTTACTGTGGAGACCAAACATAAGTAGACTCCTCGGCGCGGATGAAAGCACTTCTTGCTAAAGTCAGCTTTATGCTGATAAAACTGCCAATGGTTCTCATCCCTTCGTTTGGCTAGGAAAACATACTTTCGGCGAACTGAGTTCTCGATCATTCTAGACTACCGTCAATTTACCGTGAAAACAGCGAAATACAGTGGTCTTTGATCCAGTATTTACCTCATTTCAACCCAGGCTGAAATGCACCAGGCTTGCCAGTGCGATCATGCGTTTTGCGCCAGAACTGAAGTACTCATGTCGTTAACTACATGAATGGTTGTTGCTTCACACCTAACTTTTGCGCTCACTAACGTAAATAATCACAAAATTTGCATTAAAGGAATGAACAATTTCTGTTCAACGGTCGTTCATTGAAAATGACCTAGCTGTTCCGTGGGCAGTTTTCCCGCCAAAACTTTTAGGCGCTCGTACATAAGAACCACTTATACCTGGAGGTTGAGTTTGAAATGTTTAAGTTGTACTTGGACATGGAACATTCCTCTAAAATTTCAGCTTTCTGGCTCTTCTGGTTCCCGAGGTAGTAACTTTCCCACCAAAATTTTTACCGACATACGTAAGTATTACGCGTACTGGGGGCTGAATTTGAAAGCTTTAAGTTGTACGTGGACGGGGGATAGTTGTACGTGACGGGGAATATACCCTTAAAATTTCAGCTTTCCAGTTGTTCTGGTTGCCAAGTTAGCAATTTTTCCGACAAAATTTTGACACGCCTGCATACGAGAACCACTCATACCTAGGGCTGAATTTGAAATCTTTAGCTCACACATGCATGGAGAATATCCGTGCAGGGTTTCAGCTCTCTGTGCTTTCTGGCTGCCGAGATCGTTTTCGCGCCAAAAAAATTTGCATATTTTTTTTAAGGCGCCCGTACGCGGCACCTGGACTTACGCGGGTAATGATATTAAAACAGAAGGGTAGCACATGGTGCGGGCACACACTGCCAGAGGTTCAGCCTTCTAGCTTTCCTGGTTCTGGAGTTGAAAGAGGGTGACAAAATGTGTGAACACACAGGCAGACAGCCTCTTGTCAGTATGCGTTTTTGAATTTGCATATTTGCAAAAACACTTAAATGCTAGAGATAAATGCCGCGCACCAATATGCCAGCTTTACAGAGCAAGTCAGCTGCTTACTGTTTGGACTGTGCCATTGCCACTCGGATCTTTTTGGTACATGCAAGCCCCACCGTGCACTGACTAGCGATGTCTTATGTTATTTTGATGCTTGTTGTAGCTTTTTATAGAGTTATCTCCACAAGGGGACAGTCCCGTAACATCGCTAACATTTAGGCCTCTTGTACGGACTGTTTACGTGGTCTTGGTAAATCCGTATTTTTACTGTTTTATTTACAAACTATTTAAGAAAAGCCAAGCCATTTCATTGCTGCAGGCGCAAATGGTCGCGACTATTGCGGCTGCGTGCCATTTTACCAAGGTGAAGAGTGTCGTGACATGGTATGTCTAAACGGAGGCACGGAGATTCGGCGTCGATGTCGGTGCCCACCGAATTTCCTCGGCTATCATTGCGAGATCGATGCAAATCGTACATCTGTTGTGTCACGATTCCATGGCTACGGAGAACAGGTTCCTGATTCTGCTTGAATACTTTCTCAGCAGAACCTGCTGAAAATGAGTGCCACGCAAGCGGCTATTCCGAATTTGTGATCCTTCGCGCTGCCATCGAGCAGACAAGAAACCGATTACATCATGCCCGTCGGCTATTCGTGTTGCTTTTCGAAAGTTCGAATAAATGATACACGAGAGATGAGAAACGGAGGAAATGAGATGAAGGGGAATTGGGGGAGGGGCTTGAGACAAGAAGTATGAACAGAAGGAATCCGTTACAAGCTTTCAATCAAGAATGAAAACATGAATAAGTTTCTACACCCTTACCTTTTACATCACACATCCAAACAATCTCTAGAAAAATTCATATTCCTCCGTCTCAAGGCGAAACGATACAAGGCAGTCACTAAATCTCGGCTCGGTTCGTCTCAACCGTCATTGAGATACGCTCTAGTAAATTAAAACAAACTTGAACTTATGGATAAAGGTGAAAAAAAAAGCAAAAACAGAGATTCGGAGCCTATGAATAAAAGCAAAAAAAACTACGCTTATGGAGTGGGGATTGTCTTAGAAGAACTTGCTGTCAGCAGGGGGCTTCCTTATTTATGATGCTGAGGTAAAGCTGAGGATGAAGTACCATTATAGGATATGAATTGAGCAAAAAGATGGGTAGATTGGATGCGTGGGGATGGAGTCAGCTTTTGCTTCTATAAGATTTTGGAGGCAGAAAAACAGAGGTGTAAATGCAGTGCGTAGCTGCAGGATGCCGAAGGTAACACATTGGAATTGTATGGATTTTTCGTGTAAATCCAATCAAACCTATTTGCCCCCACCTTTCGCTTCAGCGACAGCGTTATAAATAATGAAGCCCCTTTCTGACTGCGGATTTTTATAAGACATTTCCCACTCCATGAGCTTAGTTTTTATGCGTTTTTGCTGTGCAGCGCTATAGCAGCGCTATAGCGCTGCTACAGCCAGCAAA